CTATATTTTTAAAATATAAAAAATATAGTAATTTTTTATATTGTAATTTTAAAGTTACTGGTTAATGAAGAAACAAAAACAACATAAGAAATGAAACAATAGGAAAATTGGTGATGAGACTCAAAAGATATTGAGCGATAGAGAGTTAATACAAATGAGCTAATCTCTATGTTAAAAATATTCAGTATGTATCCGATCAGATTGTACATTATTGTGTATTTTGATATTAAATCGCACATATTTGTAATTCTGCATCAGGAACACAGTTTTGCACCCAAGGGTTGTGCCTTTGCAGTAAGTCTTTTCTGCTGCTGCTCTATTATTCGTTGCTCTCTCTCTCTCCTTCTTTGCTCTCGCAGTGCTTTGGTAGAGTCATTGAGTTCTTCCATAGTGTCTACTTCCCAAGCAGCAATATTTTCTTCCCATTCTTCCAATTCATTCTATATTCACAATATAAATGTAAGTTTCTAGCATGCTACAAGTTTGTTTTTAAATATAAACTTACAGTTGGGACTGGATCCATGGCTATGAATTTTGTAGCATTGGCAGATGAACTATCCACATGTTTATCCTTTATTAAAACTTTTGTCTGTCTAGTGATTCTTGGAGTCATGTCCTATATAATGTTCAAAGATAAAGTATACAGTTTATTAAGATGACAGCACTTTAGAACTAGTCCTAAAATTACCTCAAAAAAGTTAAGCCGTTCTTCAGTAGGTGTTTCAGGAGGTTTAACTACTTGTTGTCGATACTGGTCTATCTTTGCTTGTACAGTGTTAACTGGTTTATCTGGTATAACAACAATTGGATTCTCCTCCCATTTATCCCATTGTTCTAATTCCTTAAATAAGTAATATTATATTAAGTATGCGTCGTAATACTTTTAAGCCCTAAGATAGTATATAAGTGTCGCACTGAAAATATATTTACATAATTGCACAAAGAAATAGATTCTTGCAACATTTTTATATATTTATAGTTGATAATGTTAATTGATTTTGATAAATAAATATTAATATAAATATTGCTAAATAAAGATAATAATTGCTAAACATACCGTTGAGTTAGTCAAGACATTTGGTATCACACCGACCGTGGACAAGGGCTCGCAATCACAGGACGATCTTCTTCGACGTCGAAGACAGCACATTGCACGCTTAAATATCCCGAAAAGCAGTACGAGCAGAGCCTTGAGTCGATTTATCAGAAATTCCACAGCCATTTTTTACGGTGGTCGGCTAATGCTAACCTTTCCTCGGAAGACAGATATTTATGCCGGTTACCGGGCGCGACATCGGCGATCCATTTTGCGTATCGAATCCACGCGATCGAGAGTTCACATCGTCTCGCGTTTCTTTTTGTGCAAGATTTGACTTTATAATAAACTAGTAAAAATTCGGAGATCCCTTTAGACGATACATAACCTATATATCTTTTTTTTTCTTTGGTTACATTGTCAGACGACAGATATCGCCCGAATCGACTTGAATATAACTTCGATTATCGATGTGATGCGATCTCGATCTCGTTTGAACTTTGAACGAGAAGATATTTCGCTCATTTAGCCCGAATAACGGACCATGTTAACATCGTTACCCAGTTTTATTGCTAAATCGACGCACAAGTACAGGTATGAACTGAAATATCTAGATATTTGTCATATCAAGACTTGATTTTCCGTCGAATCATTGTATAATTGATGTTAAATATGTATATATTTATTGTCAAAGATATAATCTAATGCGATAGGCAAAATATGTTCGCTATATATTACATGAAACAAGCGTAACTTTGATTCTTTATTT